GTATGGATTGTGCTAAGAGTTGTACGAGCCCCCAATAAAATGATTTAAAAAAAAAAAAGGAATGGAGCTGTCTCACACGGGGCGGCACGTGCCTTTACTTGCTGCGACAGACACCGGGGCGATTGATTTTAAAGCACAGTGGGCTACCCCCTGATCTCGCCGCCCCCAACCCCAAACAAAAACAAAAAGTTGCTGCTGGGTCAATTTTGTGCTTCAGAGTTTTGGGGTTTTGTAGCTTTTGAGTTCCCAGGATGTAGCTCAACAAGTCTTCTCTCAGATGCTCTGGATGGGACTCAAACCATCAACCTATGTGTTGGGAGCTAAGCACGTTCAAGTCACCATGGACACCACCCATTCTCTCCTTTGAAGACACCCCGCAAAGCACCAGGACAACCGGACATCGATTCTCTGTCGTTCCAGGAGTCAGTCCCAAGAGGGGGTGCCTAACGTGGGTTGGAGCACGGGGTGTAGGGCGCATGAGTGGGGCGCGTGAGTGGCCCAGCAGAGGCAGCTTCTGGATGAAAGCTTCCGGAGGTGATGAAGTGATTTTCCGAGCTGAGGCTGGAAGGATCCATGCTCCTCCCAGTGGATTCTGACTCATAGGCACACCCTACTGGACAGGGTAGAACCGGTCCCCGGGGTTTCCAAGGTTGTAAATCTTTACTCAGGCAACCCCACACCTCTCTCCCACAAGGCAGCTGATAGGTTTGAACCCCTGATAAATGACATTTTGATGAACAGCTAAGCACTCAGACCATCAAATCACCCAAAACAAACACACAATAAAAACAAGCAAACTCACTGCCACAGAGTCATTTCTGGCCAATAGAAACCTTAGAGGACAGGGTAGAACTATCCCTGTGGGTAGTTTCTGAGTCTGTCACTCTGTGAGAAAGAAAGCCTTGTCTTTCTCCCTTGAAGCACCTTGTCATTTCAAACTGCCGACTCTACATTAGCAACCCCGTGTGTAACCTCTGTGCCACCACGGCTCCCTCTCAGTGCAAAGGAGTGGGGATTAAAGGACAAAGCCAAGCGAAGTCCTCCAAATGCAAATGTATAAGCAACAAGCAATAACCCAACACTACGTCATTCCCATTCGGTGGCCCTATGGGACGGGCAAACTGCCCCACAGGTTTCCCAAGGCCCAAAGCAAACTACCACATCTTTTTCCAGAGAATAACTGGGGGGTTAGAGTCTTTCCCAGCCTTTCCCCGCCAAGCGCTTTACTGCTGCATCACCAAAGCTACTTCAGAGGATGTGCTTAGGTGCGCTCCGGCTGCATCCAACTCACAGCGACCGTGCACACAACAGAAACACCGCCCGATCCTGCGCCATCTTCACAGCTGTTGTCTGGGCCCCTTGTCTCCTGATAACACGCCCAAAACACATGAGATGAAGTTTTGCGTCTTCGCGAAGGTTGTACCAGTTAAAGAATGAGTCGTTGTTATTGTTAGGTGCCATCGAGCTGGTTCTGATCCATAGCAACCCTGTTCACGGCAGAATGAAACGCTCAGACATCATCCTCCCAATTGTTTTACGGTTGATCCCATTGTGACAGCCAGGGTGTCAATTCTCATGGAGGACCTTCCTCTTTTTCACTGCCCCTCCACTTTACCAAGCACCCTGTTCTTTCCCAGGAATTGGCCTCACCTGACTACATGTCCAAAGTATGTGAGATCAAGTCTTGCCATCCTTGCTTCTAAGGATCGCTGTAGCGTACTTCTTCCAAGATAGATTGAATTGTCCTTTGAGCAGCCCGTGGTACTTTAAATATTCTTCTCCTGCACCACAATTTGACTGCATTGATTCTTCGGCGGGCTTCCTTATTCAATGTCCAACTTTAACATGCATATGAAGTCATGGAAAATACCATGGCTTGGGTCCAGCACACCTTAGTCTTCAAAGTAGCAACCTTGTATTTCAATACTCTGAAGAGGTCTTGTGCAGCAGAGTCGCCTAATGCAACTGAAGGATACCCTAGTGAGGGTCTGAAGCCATCTGTGGTACCCAACCAGCTGTGCTTAGTGTCAGTCGACTAGGTGCCAATAGCAGAACTCGGCTTGTGCCCGGCATGCCTCCAGTGTGACAACGTTCAAACCCTTTTATTCCAAGTGCAAAATTCATTGTGATCTGGTGCCTGGAGCGACAGCACTGAGTTGCTACAAAAGTTTCTAAACCTCCCCGTCACAGGATCCGGCTACAAACAGGCGCCAAAGGGTTTGCTCGCCTGCACGGGGCCCGAGGTGCCCACGCCTTGGGAGTTCCCGCCACCCACTCCAGGATCTTGTTGGAAATGCTGATTCCCAGGCCTGGTTCCAGGGACTTTCTGCATTTCAAAGCACAGCCCAGGTGATGTCTACCCAGGTTGTGCGGGAGGAATTCCCTGGGGAAGCCAAGACGTCACAGTCCCTCACCAGTCTCCCCTCATCTGCCCAGAGGTTTCGTGGTTAAAGATTCAATTGGCCCCGTCCCTCCCAACGGACAAAATCCCATTCCCCACAGCTATGAAAACGCCTTTTAACCCGACCGCAGGAGGGAAACTCCGCCCGGATGGGCCCCCGTTCCCGCTTTGATCTGGTCAGTAGCAGGGGCCACGCTGCGGACGGCGCTTCCTCCCAGGATCCCTTCTCTGCGCAGCTGCATTAATGAGACCCGCGCTGTGCCTTCCCAGGGGCTGCTAAAGATCAAAGGCACAGAGGGATCTCCGAGCCCACCCCACTCCCCGGCCGCTCTCCGATGGTGCCCGGGAGGGGCTAGATGGAGAGGCGGGGAGACCAGCGGAACCGCGCAGAGCCTGGGGCAGCCGGGCGCAGGGCGGGCGGAGCCGGATCCTGCGGAAGCGCGGGGTGGGTTTAGCTCAGGGCAGGGCCGCTGGAGGGGCGGGGCTATCCCAAGGGAAGGGGCGGGGCTATCCCAGGGCCGAGGGGTGGGACCGTGCGAGCCGGCATCACTGTACTGAGTCCCGGCAGGGACCGGACCCACGGAACTCGGCTTCTGACCCAAAGAAACTGCATTCACACCTCTGGCCGGGCTCCTGGAGAGGGGCCCGGTTTGCTAGACCGAAAGCCTGGGAGAAGTTTCTGGAGGGGCGGGGCCTGGAGACCGGGAGCTGAGCTCCTGAAGGGGTGTGACCAGGTTCAGGGGGCGGGGCCTGGCGATCGGTAGTCGTACTCCTGGAGGGGTGGAGCCAGGATCACGGGACGGAGTCCGGCGAGCGGGAGCGGGGCTCCTGGAGAGGCGGGCCCGGGCTGGCGGGGCGGGGCGGGGCGTGCGCGCCGGTCTGCGAGTTTCGGTGCGGGCCAGATCGGCCAGCCCGAGTCCGAGAATTCTCTGCGGCCGCGCTCGCGCCGGGACGGCGACTCGGGGCTCGCCGTGAGGCCGGTTGTCCCTGCCCGCGCCGCGCTCCCGGGCCGGAGCGCAGAGAGAGGGGGCGCGCTGCAGAGCCCCCGCCGTGATCCCGGGCCCCGGGGAGGAATGTGCCACCAGCTGTTCTCCGCTCGCCAGCGCTGCGCCCCGAAGTGAGCTGAGTGGAGGCGGACGAGACAAAGGCTGCGGTGGGACGGAGGAGTTGGGGACTTGGGTTGGGCAAACAAAAGGTGCCGCAGCTGAGCAGGGCTCGAGCGATGGCAGCGGGGCAGCCCCGCGGGCGCGAGTTGCTGGGCGCCGCGCCGTGACACATGGTGCCCGGGACCTGCTGCTGCTGCTGCTGACTTCCGCGAGCTGGAGCCGGACTCCAGCAAGTTGGGGACGCCCGGAACAATGGACAACTTCTTTCCCGAGGTGAGCGCAGCGCTCGCGCGGGGGAGGCGGCGCCGTGCGCTCGGCTGCGCTCCGGGAGCCGGGGCGCGGGGGTCCCCCAGCCCATACCTGGCCCGCGGGCGCTCCCGGCCGCGCGCCCGAGCACCTTTCCCCGAAACCCGGGAGGGCGCGACTTCCTGGGAGTCTCCGATGAGTAAGCGGGGCAGGTTTTGTTCCGTCCTGCGGGGCGCAGCGGAGGTGAGCTGCCCTGGAGCGGTGGCCGGCTCCCCGGGTTCCCCCGGGCCCGGTCTCGTGCGGGCAGCCCCGTCACACCCGGGACGCGCCTTGCTCCGAGAAAGGTCTGCTCTGGCATTTCCTTTGCCAACCGTGCGCCGGTTTTCCTGCGCGAGGGGAGCAGACCCTTCCAGAGCGAACCAAGTGCGCGCGCGGAGGCAGGGTTTAGCCATCTGGGGCTCTCGCCGCGGGCCAGATCTGGGGAGTCCTGGTTCTGGTTCCAGTGCGCACCGACGCCGGCTCTCCAGGGTGTGAGATTGCTCCAGAAGTTGGTTCCAAAGGTGATGTGGTCGTTTTCTCACTGTCCTCAGCCGACTTTAAATTCACAAGTAAAGGAAAGTCATTGTGGGCAAACAGTGTCCCCCCCCCCTTCACCTTTTAAACAGCGTTACTGAGTTCTCGTTCACACACCGTACACCTATTTAAAGCGAACAGCCCACACACCTTGTTGAGGTCGTTAGTACATTTCACAGAGCTGCGAGACCGTCCCCACAATCAATTTGGATATGTTTTTAAAGATGCAAAACTCAACTCCCTTTTCCCGTTGAGTCTTAAAGCTTGAGGGCCGGACTTCACAGTTACTTGAAACTTGACTTGCGAATCTTTTTCCCCTCCTCCTCTTCCCTCCCCTGGGATTGACTGTCTGTGGTTTCTTGGCTCCCGGTCCTTTCTCGGGTGTGTTTATTTAATAAATTCTATTTAAGTTTGGGGTTTGAAGTGGCTCAGAGTAAACTTGGTTGCCTTGATGGGAGTCTGATGTGATTTCCAGTGAAAGCCAAGTACGTTGTGTGAACCCCAGGAATCTCGGACTCCCGTAGCCCGTGGGATGGCGGGGGAGGGCTTGCCTCCATGGTAGCTGGCCAACTTGATTTATCTGGCTTAATTGGGTGTAATATTTCAAGTCATTCTGTTCACTGAATGCCCATACTCTGTTCGCAGACAACTACTTATAATGACCAAAGTGAGAAATATATTCTTGGGCACTAGCAATATCCAGTTTCCTAAAGTGGGTCACAGATGTGAGACCCACATGATACAAGGGGTGGAGCATTCAGCAGACCCTACCCCGCACCCCCGCCTTTTAAAATATATACACACATATATGTAATTGTGAGACTTTAGACTTTTCAAATCCGTAGACCTTTGTGTTTGTGTGTGTAAGAAGACCGCTGAACCTTTTGCCGGAATTGTAGGTTGTCCCGACAAAGGACCAGAGGGCTGGGTCTTTAATTGCTTTCATCTGTGAGAACAGTGAGGTTATGCCTGTAGGGCAGTTTTTCTTAATGGTGTGTGTGTGTGTGTGTACACGCGCTCCCAGTTTAGACAATCGGAGGAAATTGTAACATTTGGTATTAGTTTGTGGAGGTTCCAGTCCCCACCTTGGGGCCCTGACCTCCCCTTGGGAAGTATTCTGCCGCCTAGTGTCGGTGGCGGGAACTGCAGGGCGACATGGCAACAGCTGGCAGGTCTTGACCTGACATTCGCTGGATGGTCTTCAAAGGCCTCTCTCTAAGGCTGTACCTTGGCTTAGTGGGAAGAGACGTGGAGTTTTATTTCAGTGATTAGTTGAACATTAAGTTTGCCTTTAGATATCATTGATTCCTCACGCTTTTGTTTTGTAGATGAAGAACTTTCTCTCATAGATGGGAGGTCACTTGCTCAAGGTTGATGAGCTTGTTATAGAATCTAGAGCAGCCCCCACCCCCTTCTGCTGGTATTTCTGGAGGGTTTCCGTTACTGGATGTGTTTTTATTGTAAGCTTGTGCCTGATCCCCCACTAGAGCCCCACCCCTGACGATAATGACTTGGATGCTGATGGGAGGGAAGCAGGGCATGTGTTACTCTCCTAACGTAGTCCCTGATCTGTCACTATCTCTTTTTATCATGTCTTAGAGTGGCGTAGTGGTTGCGGGTTGGGCTGCTAGCCCCAAGGTCAGCAGTTAGAAACTCCGAGCTGCTTCTCTGGAGAAAGATGAGGCTTTCTACTCCCGTCAAGAGTTAGGGTCTCAGAAAAAGAAAGCAAAAACCAAATGAGGTATTGCAATATTTCACGTGTGAATGTCCAGACGATACAGAAATAGGTGCTCGTTTTGAATAGCAGTTACTATGTAGAACTTGACCAGGGTTTCTCAAACTCCATAATATTAGCATTGTGGGATGGTTTATGCTGCATTGTGGGGGGCTGTCTTGTAGGAAAGGAGCCTTGGTGGCGTACTGGGTTATACATTGATCTGCTAACCACAGGGACAGCAGTTCAAACCCACCAGCCAGTCCGCAGGGGAAAGATGAGGATTTCTACTCTCGTAAAGATTTACCATTTCGGGAACCAACAGAGGTAGGGTCACTGTGTGTCAGAATGGACTGGAGGGGAGTGAGTTGGTTTTGAGTTGGTCTTAGAGGATCACAGGAGAAAGATGAGGCTGAGACTCTCGGCTCCCATTTAGATGTACAGTCTCCGAAATCCTAAGGCAGTGGTTCTAAACCGCGACCCTTTCACAGGGGTCGCCCTATTCATAACAGTAGCAAAATTACAGTTTTAAAGAAGCAACAAAAATAACTTGATGGTGAGGGGTCACCACAACATGAGGAACTGTATGAAAGGGTCATGGCATTGGGAAGGTTGAGAATCACTGTCCTAAGGAGCTAGTTCTGCTCCATCGTGTAAGGTCACCAGCTGGCAGCAGCCGAGTTCCCAATGTCCTGCTCTGGAATTGGAGAAGCCGTGCCAGCAAAAGCCCCAAATGCCTTCAGGTTCCCTCATGGCCTTCATTAGATTTTTATTGCTTCTCTTTTGCGTGTGCTGCCCCTGGGGGAAGTACCCACTTCATCCCACCTCCCCTCCCCCATGCAATTAAACCAGTTGCTTCAGGCCGAAATGAAGTTTAGGTATGTCTCTCACGCCAGCAATTAAAGAAGGGAAAAATGTCTCAACCAGCAACCAGTTGTTGATGTTTGGAAGCCGGCAGCTGTTTCCATGTCCCTGGGGCCACGTGCAGAGTCTGCAGTGCAGCCACTGCACAGTCAGTTCCCAGAGCAGTAAGTCTTCCGTTCTGCCTTATATTTCAAGAAAAGTGTAGCATCGTGGAAAGAGCCTTGGTGGTGGCCTAGTGATTACCCAGTTGAGCTGGCTCTATAAGATCAGCAGTTCGAAACCACACAAGCCACTCTGTAGGAGAAAGATGAGGCTTTCTATTTGTTCCCGTAAAGAGTTACAGGCTCTGAAACTCACGGGGGCAGTTCTACTCTGTCCTATAGGGTCATTATGAGTTAGAATCGGCTAGGTGACAGCAAGTTTAGTTTGAGTAGCATAGTGGTTACTCAAGTAAATGATATTTTCTGGGGGGGAGGGGAGGGATTGTGTTGAGCACGATTATTCAGGAGACATAGAAACGTTTTTCAAAAGCATGCATATTATGGGGATAAAACATTCACAAGTGTGATGCTCTTGGTCCCAAATAGTCAAAGCCGGGATTGATGCCTGAGGATGAATAGCTCATGGAAAATATTCCAGTTGTGCCAGGATCAGGCTGGTGGAACAAATCCAGCTCCACTGATAAACCAAACCCACCTGCCCGGCCATCGAGTCAGTTCTGACTCATGCTGACCCTACAGGGGGCTCCACCGATCGTGACACCGTATGGAAACAACCACCTCTGGGTGCTTGAGAAGGGAACTTGCTTTGGGAGTGTTCTCAGATAATTGGTCAAAGACCATTTGAGCCTGGAGTCTTGTTTGGGGGCCTGTTTTTCATCCCCGCCCCTTCCTGTACCATGAGCGCTGGCGACATAATGGTTGGGTTATGCATGGAACTGCTAAGCTCGAGGCCAGGGGTTCAAACCTGCCCTCTCCTTGGGAGAAACATGAGGTTGTCAGCTCCTGAAAAGTTTAGTCTTGGAAACCCACAGGTGCAGTTCTGCCCTGTCCTATAGGGTCACTGTGAATCAACTTCAACTCGATGGAGGCAGTGAGTTTGGTTTTTGCGTGCGCGTGTCCATTTGTAGAATCGTTCTTGTGATCTTTGCTTTGATTTGTGTTCTTGGTTAAAAAAAGTAAGATGTTGCTATTTCTACTGCAGCCCCTCCACGCCCAATTATCTCTAAACGAATGAAAAGAAAAAGCTAGGGGTACTTCGTGTGCCCCCAAACCCTGAAGGCTGCTCCATGGACGGACGACTCAGCTCGCACCGTGGCTGGGTGTCCTGGCGTTGTGGAGGGTCTGCGATGATTTCTGTTGAGGCCCTGGGGGGACAGCAAGGCATTGCGAGCAGATTCAGGGAGGACAGTTATGTTAGCGGGGAGCGGGGCACCCCAAGCAGGGTGAGTGGATGGGTGGAAACACATCCCTCATCTCTCTCTCTCTCTCTCTATGCCATCGAGTCCATTTTGACTCAGTGGTTACCATTTGGGCTGCTGAACGCAAGGTCAGCAGTTTGAACCCACCAGCCGCTCCATGGGAAAAAGAGGAGGCTTTCGACTCCTGTGAGGAATTAGCCTTGGAAACCCACAGAGGCAGTTCTCCTGTCCTGTAACATTTCCCTGAGTCAGAACCAACCTAATGGCAGTGGGATGGGATTGGATTGGATTGGATGACAGACGAGCAATGCATAGAGTTTGCATTCCGTTTGGTGGTGATCCGCCCTTGCCCAAAGTCTCCATAGTGAAGGGTTAAGCTCCCTCCTGGTGATCCTTGTTGTTAGGTGCCATGGAGTCGGCGCCGGCCCATAGCAACGCTATGCACCACAGAAGGAA